CCCCCAACTTATAACTTTAAAATGGTGATTGAAAAGCAGTGCCGGAGTAAAAAAAATAACATCTTTTGACATACCGTATCATTTAATTAATTCAACATAATTTTTTATTGGCATATTGTTTATTTATAATTAAAATTTGTTTTCGGCCCATTTTTGGCGCCCCCCCCCCCACTTTGGGAAACACTGTTCTAGAACATAGAACAAACAAAAACAAACATGTTGTACTTTACTGTTAGTATATGGTGAACAATAACAGAGCTTGGTTACATAAATATACAGTAATTTTAACGTAACTTAATTTTGATGTACTGATGTTACTAAAAGATTTTGGATGTAGTGCGTTTCTTCAAGTACGGACCAATGGAAAACTAAGTCGTTAGAGGGGTAGAGCTTAAAAATACTAACCAACCTATGGCAGAGGAGGTTGTATCATTGATAATCCTAGGAAAAAATTTTAGAGGATGTTTTAGGATCTTGAAACAATCACATATCATAACGTCCACTGTATATCTCTGAACTATGACGTTTATAACACATGATTTTTATATGTTTTTATTTATTACCAAAACACGTGTTTTTTTTTGAGGGGGGGGGGAAACTGTCCCATTCATATTTCAGTTTAGATTGAAAGTTAAACAATAAAGGGTGAAATAAATGAAATAATGCCTCTCGAGAATCGTTTAAAGGGGGTAGCGTGGCCGGATGGCTCAGGGCTTTAGACTCGTCGTCGCATAGTAGTGAGTGAGAAGCTAGAGCTAGCTCACGTCATACTGTTGTGCCATTGATAAAATGCTTTGTCCCCCATTTGTTTCAGAGTACTCAGCTGTATTATGGTACCAGCTATTACCTGGGGGTGGGGTGCGTCACCATTCTTATCCGCTGGTGCCAATTAAGCCAGAATTTAGTACTAGATCCTGCGTGCCATCTCGGCATGGGAGGGATTTGACCCTTTTTCTGAGACGCGTTTAAAATGAAGACACATTTTAACTGCGCAATGGTATAGGATTTGGGGCAGGAGGAGCCTTTGCCCCTTCAATAAAATAACTTTGCTTTGTTGCAACTTGTATTTATTGAC